CATGCAGACATCTAGATACCCTATCTTGCTAACTCCAGCTCTCTAGCTCCAGTGTCATAAAAGCTCTTTCAAAGCATTTCTTCCCCATATGATTAACAGTCTAAATAATCACAGCTCATAGATTTTTAATGCCAGAAGAAAACCATCTTGCCTGGTGTCCTGTATAACACAGGCCATAGAACCTCATCCAGTCATTTCTGAATTGAGCCCATAACCTCTGCTTGAATTACAGTGCAGCTTTTGGGAAAAGCTCCAGTCTTGATTAAAAGCCTCAAGTGATGAAGTATCCCCCCCTCTCTCTTGAGAAATTGCATCAGTGATTAATTACCTTCACTGTTAAAAAACTTCATTTCATTTCTAATTTGAATTTGTTTGGCATCTGCTTCTAGCCCTTGGATCTTGTTATGCTTCTTCTGCTAGATTAAAGATCTCTCTACTGTTAGGAATCTTTCCCCCAAGTAGGTACTCCCAGACTGTGATCCAGTCACCTCTTATCTTTTGTTGAATAATTAAAATATATTGAGCCTCTTTAGCTTTTTGTGATGTCATGTTTTCCTAACCTCAGTTCATTTTTGTTTCTTTTCACACAAACCTTCCCAGTTTTTCTATATCTGTTTTTTTAAGGGGATGGTGGTGGGCCAACAGCAGAACTATTATTCACTTAGGGTGCTGACAGAAGTGACATTTGTCATGCAATCAGCCCCTTGAAAATGCCCTGCAGTCATGCCCTGACAGAAGTGCACGGCTGTTGAGCGGTTTAAAAGTGCCTGATCACATGACAAATTAACTCTCCCCTTTCCCATCCTGCAAACAACATAGGAGTTGGGGTGGGGGGGGGGGGAACTAGGGGACAGAAGCTGTAGACAGGTAATTCCTTCTGGATTGGCTCCAAAGTGGAGCTTGATTCCCCACCTGCTGGACCCAACAGTGAATGTCTGTTGGGTCAGGGGCGTCACTCTAAGTCATGAATGTTTTCACTAATGCCATATGAAGAGGTAATACCACTGTCCTACTACTCCTTTTTAATATTCCTTGCTCAAATGTCCAAGGACCATGTTCATCCTCTTACCTGTAGCATCGCACTAGGAGCTCATGTTTATGTGGTTATTTACCAATATATGAGGAATCACAGCAGAATGTGATGACCCAAACTCTCCAACTGATAGCAGTACCCTTCCTCTTTCATTTTTCCCTCACAGCAGTTTGGGACCCTGAGCCTGCAAATTATAATTCTTGGCCTGAAAAAGATGCACAATAAAGTCATAGAAAATAATACTAAGAGCAAAAGATTGGGAAGAGAGAGCAATTTGTAACAAATCCTGGAGTCATTCCAGAAGACAGGAAAATCTAATGTTGTGACAATATTTTAAAAGGATAAACAGGTGATCTGGGTATCTGTAAATCTGTTAGTTTGACCCTGTTCCCAGGAAAAATCATGGAAAGTTTGCTATGTGTACGTGTCATACTCCAACCTTGAGTTTCATAGATGTAAGGGCCTGGAAGGGACCTTACGGATCATCGGGTCCAGCACTCCCCCTCCCCCCCGTGCTGCCTTTGGGGCCTAAGTAGTTGCTTGCATAACTTGTGGTTCAGCTTGACCTTGATCTTTGATAATTCTCAGGCTTGTTGAGAGCAACTAACAAGGCATGTAAGTGGGAAGAAGCATTCCAACATCCTCTCTCTCTGCAGCAATCTGAAAAAATCATCAAAGCAGGTGTGCAGACAAAGATGCTCAGGAACAGGGGCTGGCAAACTATGGTCTGGCCCACCAAGAGGTCTGATCTCGTATGGAGGGATCAGTGCACCATGCTTCTTTGGAACCTGCTTTGCAACATCTGAGCCCACCCTTGCTGCAGAGCTGTTGGATATCTGGCAGC